ATTTTGAGGAAAAACAAAAATAAAACAACAAAGAAACCACATAATGTAATGTTGATGGTGCATTAACCAAAACTCTGTCTGTAATTGCTTTAATAGTTGTGGCGTTGTATAATATTTTTATTTAATTTTGGAAAATGATTCAAGTAGATCCTTACAACGCTTTAATTATGCTGTACGTAATGATTCATTCAGGTCCACATATGCCTGTGTTTACTCTGATCTCATCAAAATTGTGATCATAACTTTTACTCAGCCTCATCAAAATTGTGATCATAACTTGCAAGGTGATTGCTCCAGAGGCGTAGCGAGGGGGGGGGGACATATGTCCCCGGGCGCCACCTTAGGGTGGGGAGGGCGCCAAAATGGGTTGGAAAAAGAAATTGAAAGTTTGAGGAGGGTGCAAACGAAAAGTTCAAGGAGGGGGGGGGGGGTGCAAATCAAAAGTTCGAGGGGGGGGGGGTGCAAATCGAAAGTTTGTCCCCGGGCGTCGGGAAGGGTCGCTACGCCTCTGGATCGCTCTCACAGTAAAAGCTAATGTAGTTAATGCTTCTCGAACCAATACTGTAGCTATGTCGTTTTTAACCAGGATCATGCCAAATGACCATCGAATTATTGACTAATTAAACAGACGAAAGATAAAAAAAAACAATAACTTTAAAAAAAGAATTATATTTGAGGTTTATATATTATTTAGAAACCTGTCTTGCACATCATAAAATGTAAGCCTTATAAGAACAAACAGATCTTAATAGCTGTTAGCTTAGTTGTTAGAAAATCTCTTTCAGCATCGAGTTTTCTACTGTCTGGTACAGGTGCATTGATTTAATCAAACCCCCGCCCCTCCCCCCAAAAAAACTGTGATTTCTCTTTTCAGTGAAGACTTTTTCAATCACCAATGTTCTTGGATCTAACTAAGGAACTAAATAATATTCTTTTTAATTTTTTTAACTTCAATCGCAGTGGGATTCAGTTTCTAATCGATCTAATAAAGATTATTGACGTAAAATAATTAACTAAGGGCAACGAAATTTAGTCAAAGATCTGAATATTTACTGAGTTATTACACAACAAGCAGACCATAACGGAATATATCCAAGAGACAGGAATCACTTTCTATTTTCAGGCAGCATTTAATCTAAGAAATGGACTTTAATTACACTAGTTTGAACAATTTGTCAACAACAAAACATAACATTATGGTTATATGTGGTATATTATAGACACGAAGTTTGAAAACCTATGGATGAGTATAAAATCCACCAAGTATTTCTTGCTTACATAAACCTGGAGAGTCTGACACAGCATTCAGATCACAAATTTTTATCAATGTAATTTTAGAAATTGAAAAAACTCAAGAAAAAGAAACTATTTTATAAAATTCACCACTCTGCAACATCTAAAGCCATAGAAGTGGTAGATCTTGCTGATATTACATTGATTAGTATTCCTCTATTATTTTTATTTAAAAAAAATGCTTATAATTAGTGCACTCAAAATTGACAAATAGACATTTAAACAATCAAGCAAAATTTCAGGGAAAGTTTTTAAATATTTAAAACAAATCAAATGCCCAATCTAATAAATCTAATACTAGGATATATATATATATATATATATATATATATATATATATATATATATATATATATATATATATATATATATATGAAATATTTTAATTGTTAGGAATATCTCCCGTATGAGTATCAGTGTTTCGAATTCCTTTGATAGCTGGTTTGTTGTGTTAGTTAATCCCCTTGTATGACAGTTGGGTTCTAACAACTACACAAATCTGGACATTTATCAAAGTACAGTTGTCTGCCCACTACTGTGGGAAACAGGAAGAGTTATCTGCCCTAATGCCTCTTTTTTATATTCATCGACATTTTTTCTATAATGTCGAGTAATTTTAAATAATTTTATTAAAAAAAATTAAAAACAATACATAATCTGGGGGAAAAGAGGGTTCTTCTAATATTTCAACTTCAATTGTTATTCATTTTTTTACTATTTCCATTGGATGCTAGAAAATGACATAAATCCAACATAGTTTTGTTATTTCAAAAATTGTTGTACAACCGTAAAATCAAAACATGTATAGGTTTATCATTGTATTCGATATATTTATACATACACATAAATAAAAACACACACACACACTTATATATATGTATATATATATATATATATATATATATATATATATATATATATATATATATATATATATATATATATATATATATATATATATTACCAATACTGATTTATAAAACACACTACTGATAAGTACAACTTGTTTCTAGTTCTAAGTACCCAACTCATAGCATATTGATTTTTTTACTATAATATGGCTCTCTTTTAGGGAATGAAAGTTTATTCATTTTAAACTTCAAATTTGATAAAATCTATGCATACTCCAAATACTGGCCATAGACCGGTTGACCATTGTCCAGCAACACTATCACCGTCCCTGTCATTCCTGTGTTCCCAGGTCACTTGCCAAGTCCGGTCAGCCGTCCAATGACCTGCGATCCCCCATCACCAAACACAACAACAACCCCAGTCTTGAACCCCTGACTCGGCGTCAGAGAAAGCTGGTCACGAGGAACCCTGGCACCATCGTGGCCGTGGAGTCAGGGGCCAAGATGGCCATCAGCGAGTGTAAGCACCAGTTCAAGAACCGACGCTGGAACTGCCCGACAAACTTTGACGGCCATACCAATTCCATCTTTGGGAAAATCTTACAAAAAGGTCAGTACGGTGTACGACTGTAAACGGTGCTGTCGCGTTTTAAGAAAGCTGTCGTGTGGTAGTTATGTGAAGGGTTGTGTGAGTAGTAGTAGGGGATGGTGTGGTCGAATGGTAGAGCTTTCGACTGCCAGTCCGATTGTCCCGGGTTCAAGTCCCTACGACGTCTCTGAGTCAACCCGGCTTACCTGTCTGACTCAAGTTAGGAAAATTAGAAGCGGCTGGACATTGTACTACCACACTATAGCTTTATTCGCCTGTGTCACTGAAACATGAAAACTCTATTTCACCTGCGATAAGGACCTAAGGATCGAAAAGGTGTTTAGTATTACTATGAATACTTGTGCAGAAAACCGATTAGATAGTAATGTTTAACATTATTTACTCATAATTTTTGAGTACATTAGGCTTAATGTGGTGTGCATGGTTTAGATTAGATAAGGACATTCTTTTTAAGTTAAAATACCTTGACTGACACAGTATAACATTAAAATCATTTTCAATATATTGATTGATCAGCTCATCAGATAACCTTGTTTTATCCATGTTATTTCTGACTTTTTTTCTCCGGAGGGCGTGGAGGGGGGGGAGGGGGGGGGGTGGAACGACATTGGATATTTGAAATTATCGGGGGGGGGGGTGGCGGGTGGCGGACTAAATTTTTCAGGAGGTGGATAGACATTTGTAAAAGTATATATTTTCTATATAAATTACATTTCGTTTGGGGAGGGGGGGGGGTTGGGGAGGGGAAGGGAGCGTAGCCACGACGACGAAATACCTGAAAGAAACTCTGCTCGTTATCACCCCTTATCTGCCTGTGAATAGTGTGAGAAGGATACTTTAATTTAGCTAAGGGAAACCTTTTAATCAACACATAAACACATAAGAAGTATTTACGCTACGATTTTAGACATTCTAAATCTATGGACCACATTTAAAAAAAGCTAATCTTGATATACTAAATAGTACCATGCTTATAATACTAATTGAAAAGAGTGTAACAATATTCTGGTTCGCTAAATTTGTATCAGTACATTTTATGGCTGAAGATAAATTAAATAAACCAGTGCTTAAATGGTAAATCCTCAGATCTACCCCCCCCTCCCGTATATTATGTTGACCCCCACACTCCCACACCCCTCTATCCACACGTCCACCAAAACATTTAATCCAACTGGAATATGGCGCCCGGGGAAAACCCGAGTTTGTTCCCTTTCATCTTTCAGTTTCTATTGTTACAGACAGGACAATCTTGTGGCTATACACTTGCATTATATATTGGATTCAGGTTAAATACACACACAGACATACGTGCACACACACACACACACACGCACACACACACATATATATATATATATATATATATGCCTATATATATATATATATATATATATATATATATGTGTGTGTGTGTGTGTGTGTTTGTGTTTGAGCATGTATATATATGTATGTATATATATATATATATATATATATATATATATATATATATATGCACAATATATATACATACATGCTCAAACACAAACATATATATATATATATATATATATATATATATATATATATATATATATATATATATATATATATATATATATATATATATATATATATATATATATATATATATTACGTAAGAGGGCTGTAGATTATAGGCCCTAATTCTTGATTTTCAATAATGCATTACATGCCCTCAAAACAATTAGTGATTTTTAATTTTTAATGTTTTAAGCCTACTTTTAAATATCACAGTGAAAAAAAAATACTAAATTCATTTAAGCTTTTCAACAGTGTTGATTGACTTTAACTGTTTCTTTCCATGACATATAATTTATCTAGATTGTAATGATTATAAAATTATTTTTTTCTGTTGTTAGCTGTTGCTAAAACTAGAAACATTTAAATGTATCAATAAGCTTTAGCTTAGGTTTTTTTGCACATAATTTAAAACAATGTATAGTTAATCCCTATGGTTTGGAGTCTTTGGGTGCGAATGTAACAACACAGCACAACAAAAAATCTCTTTTAACACAAACTGTGGTACGGAGACAGACGCGTCAATGTTTTATTCCCGAGTTAATGCCCCTTTTACATGTACGCCCAAGTTACCTCCCCTGACTTGCTGATTGAGACACAGAATCCAGTGACAATTTTGTGTGACGCTCTGATTTTTTTTCCACACTCGCACTCAAAGGTGAACATCGTTGAGAGTTAATTCCCTTTTTATTGACCTTAATTCCCCTTGGTGTCCAGCCTCCCGTTCCCTTTACCACGGCAGCAGTCGTAAATTTGGCTTACAGTGGGGCTCCACACCTCCGTTTAGCGCCACACAGAGACGCGTGGGAATAGGGCAACACGGGGTGTGGGCTGGCGGTCACGGTTCAAAGCTTGTCACGTGATACGGGTTGGAGGAAAGAAAGGAAAAGTTAAACCTGTACTCGATACCGGAAAGTCAAAAAAACTCCAGTTCCATTTGATAACTGGGTTGTTGAGATGGGGTGGGACCTAGCTAGAAGAAACAATTACAATAAAAACATAAATATATAAGTCAAATGAAGCGAGTTCATCTTATTTCGTAGAAAAGAAATAAGTTAACTCTACTTCAGCTATAACTGAATAGTCTTCATAATATTCCAGGACTTTATCAAGTCACATGTTTGGTAGCAATTATCTAGAGCAGGGGTCTCCAAACTACGACCCGCGGGCCGGATGCGGCCCGCGAGGTCCTCTCATCCGACCCGCTGAGATCTTTTTGTCCACGGAAAAAAAAACGTTTGTTGGTGCTGGCTGAGGAACTTTGCCCAGAAAATCAAAGACATGCCTGGAAGAAACTGACCCCCGAACTGAAATTTGTTAGTTAATGCGGCCCTCGGACTGAAAAGTTTGGAGACCCCTGATCTAGAGGCTGGAGTTCTTGTTAAATCGCTCTAACAAATCTATGTCGTTTATGTCAACGATTCTATATATTAAAAGTGTATTTCGCCTCCATATGAATATTTGAACTTTGACCAGTACTTTTGAACTGAGGGTTATTGGTCATCTTTAATGTAGGTTGTAAGAATAATTTCGGTTTCCTTATATATATATATATATATATATATATATATATATATATATATATATATATATATATATATATATATATATATATATATATATATATACATGTGCGTGTGTGTGCGGTTGTTGAACTTGAAAGTAATTAAATAATCTCAAGTTAATTTTATGTAAAGTTATGTTAATGAACTGCTTTATTTAACTATACTATTCAATTATAACCACAAAATACGAGTAGTGCTATATATACACACCCCATTGATACAAAAACGAACCAATCTTCTAGAATTACACTTCGGTTTGAACTAACATTACATTCCGCATCTCAACTCTGATTGTAGCGATATATTTATTCTTGTAACCTCTTACAAATGTGCTACAAATGTTATCTTTGATCAAATCTTTTCTGGTGAATTCCTAGATTGATATCTCTCTGATTCATAATGCTGTGTTGTGGATTAATGTATAATGTTTGAATCAAATCGATGAATGAAACATAGAAATCCCACCATTTGTGCGGTGGTTTCCCATAAGTGTATTAGCGTGTGATTTATCCTAATCCACTTTGATAACAATCGCATTTTTGTGGCTTACGAAAATGGAATTAAAATAAAACGAATGGGAAAGTAAGTCTACCGTGACATTTTTTTTTTTGGAATGTCATTATCATGACGTAGTATAGTTTTTGTCATGTGAAATTGTACCTTGGTTTGTTTATTAGCTCATTAATGTTTCTATATGCAGTTTTCTTTTAATAACAGTAGTTATTTTTAGATGTTATTTGGAAAATTTTAGTATTATAATTAATGTTGAAGAGTGCCCTACTGTTTCTGTGATGTGATGTTACCAAATGGTACTGCCGTTATGTTGTGGTGTTTTTGATGGTGTGGTTAGACGATGGTTCAATGTGATTTTGTGGTGTGTTATTGTGATTGGAAGTTATGGTATTCTACTATTTTTATCTTTGATGCAATGAAGACTTATTTACACCAGGCATACACCAAATAACTCTGACTCGACGTTATGACGCTCGAAACAAACGCCGATGTGACGCATTGACGCATTTTACGCCGCAAGTGAATATCAACCTGACGATTGTAGTAATTTGACTAAAAACTTGCTAAGACAAGTTCCCTAAATGCCGTAGCCATTGACGTGTGGAGGCGTGTGGGAGTTTTGTCCCCGGGGCTTTATGTACAGGTGAGATGGGCTGATAACTCGTGGTGTAGAATGTGAGGGGAGAACACCACTAACGGGAAATGTGTGACATTGTTGTGGTAGGAGAAGGGGAGATAACTAACGGGAAATTTGTAACACTGTGCTAGTAGAAATTTGTTGTGGTAATAAGGGGAGCTCACCACGAACGTAAATTGTGTGATGTAGTTGAAGTAACCAAGGGGAAATCACCGGACCTTTAAAATTCTGGTGACAGGTGACATATTTAGCTTTCCCCCACCAGCTGTCGGCCGTTACCTGTACGGCCCACGGTCATCCTAGGGTCACTTAGGCTAGCCTTTAGCGACCAAACGATAATATCTGACCGTCCAATATCTCACCCATCTATCGCATTCCTCGTTGGTACAAGTCAAATTGACTCTCCTCCGTCCGGGGGCTGAGGTGTATGATGTGGGATGGATGGGGAAAGGTGTGTGTGTGGGGGGGGGAGGTGTGTGTGTGTGGGGGGGGGTGTTGCGGTTAAAATCGAATAATGTTAGAGGGTAAAGAACTGAAAAGAAAACGTCATTTCAGTCTAGTTCCATGTGTATTTGATAAACCCGTACTTTATTTATATTTGTAGATATAAAACGCGTGACTACTTTATAAAAATAAATGGTGTTTTTTTTTAAATTAATAACAATAAATGACAATCATCTAGGCTATAAGACAATCAGTTCTGCTAGTTCAATGTTTACACTAAAAGTTAAATCCCCTTTTCTTGTCGAATCCGATTTTTCTATTTCAAATTTTTTCCTGAACTGTTTTCACCCCCACCTCTCCAAACGTCTGCGCCCGTCCCTGTCCCCGGGGGATCAGAATCCCCCGTGTTTACCCCCCTAATGACGACGAAAGCGCCGGTCAAACAGACTTAAGCTCTGAGTCGAGCCGGGAGCGTGCTACATCCCATCTCGCTCGCCCCGCCATGTTTAATTGGGGCTACCTGCTACTTTTGGGCCCAGATAGCTACATCTCCGCGGCCGTCACGAATCCCTTTGACAGCCCCCCCCCCCCCCCGCCCCAGAATCATCACCCCATCATGTTGACGGTCGAGTAGAAATTCTTTTGACACATTTTCACTGGACTAATGACCAGTGGACAGCGCAGTGGATCCCAGATATTAGTGTGTGTGTGTGTGTGCGGGGGTGGGGGGGGGGGGGAGTTGGTCAGCTATAAACTAAAGATTCAACCTTCTATTACCAAATTACCATAAAGCTATAAAGTAATAGTGCTTATCATAACAAACGTCTAAAACTCCCAGAATTATTGGTCAAAATGTAAGAGTCAGTTAATGGTATTGTTAACAACTCTTCTCTTTAATCTAATTTTAAAGTGTTGAGTTATTCCTGAACATACTTATTTACGAATTCTTAAATATAAAAATGTGTTTTGATTTAAGATAACTTGTATGTTTGTCTATGCAAAAGTATTATTGTATGAACTTATATCTGGATGGGTGTAGAATTTATTGCTTGATAAATTAGTTCAACTTTTTATACATTGATGGTCTATTTTTAATGGATCTATTTGGAGAAATTATTTTGACCTTCTTGGTCCAGCGAGTCTTGACGTTTTGTTTGGTAAATCTTGTCACATTTTTACGTAAAGTAAAGTAAATAAAGTACACTTCCGGACTAGACGTTCTTTTGTTGCAGACAAAGTAGAGTTAACATATTTCTGACAGTACTATGCCCAACTGCATAGAGAATCGAGCCCTGGATCCGAACTCGAGTATTTTGGATTATCAGTTGAACACTCTAACACTCGACCATGCCGTCCCTGACCATCTTGTAATGGTAGTCATATTATCAATTTGGTCGTCTTTGCTCAGTGATCATCTTGTCTACTTGGTCATCTTTCGTTTCTTTTAACCTTCTAAATCCTGCAAAACCAGATACTTAATCCATGGCACAGTTACCTTATAATTACTTCAGATCACCACATTACAAATCATTTGCACAAACACATAACGACCAGCTTTGTATACACATATCACACCCCAGACGCAATAAACAATTCAACTACCACATTCATCAACCTAATTTTAGCATCATTCGGTAATTCCCGATTTTTCAATCTCCGATATCACCGTCGACACATAACCCAAACATTTTTTTATTTATTTATCAAAAAACGAGAAAGCGTCACGTTCAACACTTGACGGCGAATATTAAATCATAAAAGCTTGTAATCAGGACCATTGAAACATCCACCCCACCGGCGGTGGCACTTTCAGCTGGGGCACTAATGGCTGTGGTCGGCAGATACGGCGGGGAGATAACCATCCAAGGCAGACGGCTAATGCCGATGGAATTCCTACCCTGGAGGAAAAACAACTTTGAGATTCCAATGTTTTAGTCAAAAGTGCAATCTACTTTAACCCGTACCTTACCGGCGTAGATAAAGCTAGGGTTAGAAAATGATTGTAACGACATATTTGTGTCGTTGTTCACCGCGGACCTTCTACAACCAGGGGAGAATGTTTTTCACGACAAAGGGCGGGTTACTCTAAACACTGTGTCAACACAAAGAGGGACACAATCCCTGTTAAAGGGCGTTAATCCACTTCTCCAAGGGGAGAGAATCGCGCGGGTTAAAAGCTTGAGTTTCTCCCTTCAAGCGAGACAGACCCCGACTAAAGCCACGCAAGCTCTGATCGTTCAACTGACTCCAATTCACACCGATAAAAAATATTCAATGGGAATGGTTTATGGGAATACTTTGTTATGTATTGGGAAAAAAAGTTGTTTCGACCATGAGTAGCAAATTATTTTATAAAACTAACGAGATAACAACATATACATGATGATACAAATAAATACAAAAATACAAAAATGTTTACAGATGTTAATCACATATGAAATTTAAAAAAATAATGATAATAAAAATATTTATGTAAATGAAAATAACAAATAAAAAAGTTAATTAACGTAATATTGATAATAATAATGTTTATAATAATATTAATAATATTAATAATAATAGTAGTAGTAACAGTAATAATAATAATAATAATAATAATAATAATAATAATAATAATAATAATAATAATAATAATAATAATAATAATAATAATAATAATAATAATAATAATAATAATAATAATAATAATAATAATAATAATAATAATAATAATAATAATAATAATAATAATAATAATAATAATAATATTTATAATACTTATTATATTTTAATATTATTAAACTAATAAAAACAACAGCTTTGAAAAATCAAAAGCCTGGCGGAAAGTTATTAGCAATAAAAATTAATCAATTAACATTGAGTTAATTTCATTACGCGTTTAATTTGCGAAGAGTAAATGAAAAAAAAAATGTTTGGAGTAAACTTAAGCTAGAAACTGTTGCTTCAGCAAGAAATATATAGTGAGATTTATCCAACAACGTACAATATTATTCCTTAATTAATTGAACTGGGAGTTTTGTTAACAAAGATCACATATCTATAATGTCTTTACCTGTCTTTTATGTCTGTCTTAACTGTCTCAAGTCTCTCTTGTCTAAACTGTCTCGTGTCTCATGTCTAAACTGTCTCGTGTCTCATGTCTAAACTGTCTCATGTCTAAACTGTCTCGTGTCTCATGTCTAAACTGTCTCGTGTCTCATGTCTAAACTGTCTCATGTCTAAACTGTCTCGTGTCTCATGTCTAAACTGTCTCGTGTCTCATGTCTAAACTGTCTCATGTCTAAACTGTCTCGTGTCTCATGTCTAAACTGTCTCGTGTCTCATGTCTAAACTGTCTCATGTCTAAACTGTCTCGTGTCTCATGCCTAAACTGTCTCGTGTCTCATGTCTAAACTGTCTCATGTCTAAACTGTCTCGTGTCTCATGTCTAAACTGTCTCGTGTCTCATGTCTAAACTGTCTAATGTCTAAACTGTCTCGTGTCTCATGTCTAAACTGTCTCGTGTCTCGTGTCTAAACTGTCTCTCTCATGTCTAAACTGTCTCTCTCATGTCTAAACTGTCTCTCTCGTGTCCAAACTGTCTCGTGTCTCATGTCTACATTGTCTCGTTTCTCATGTCTAAACTGTCTCGTGTCTCATGTCTAAACTGTCTCGTGTCTCATGTCTAAACTGTCTCGTGTCTCATGTCTAAACTGTCTCTGTCTCATGTCTAAACTGTCTCTGTCTCATGTCTAAACTGTCTTGTGTCTCATGTCTAAACTGTCTCTCTCTCATGTCTAAACTGTCTCTCTCTCATGTCTAAACTGTCTCTGTCTCATGTCTAAACTGTCTCGTATCTCATGTCTAACCTGTCTCGTATCTCATGTCTAAACTGTCTCGTGTCTAATGTCTAAACTGTCTCGTGTCTAAACTGTCTCATGTCTAAACTGTCTCATGTCTAAACTGTCTCGTGTCTCATGTCTAATCTGTCTCGTGTCTCATGTCTATACTGTTTCGTGTCTCATTTCTAAACTGTCTCAAGTCTCTCATGTCTAATCTGTCTCATGTCTCATCATTCATGTCCAACCACCGTGTCTTATATCTACCCACCGTGTCTTGTATTCCAGGCTGCCGAGAGACAGCCTTCATCTACGCCATCACCAGCGCCGCCGTCTGCCACACGGTGGCCCGGGCGTGCGCCGAAGGTCACGTGACAACCTGCACGTGCGACACCGACCCCCACGGGCGCCCCAGCGGTGGGGACTGGGAGTGGAGCGGCTGCAGCGATAACGCCAAGTTTGGGAAAAACTTTTCCCGGAAGTTTGTTGACGTGCTGGAGAAGGGGCGGGACTTCCGGTACATGACCAACCTGCACAACAACGAGGCTGGTCGTCTGGTAGGTCACTGGCTTAAACTCACCTGGTCTAGGTCATTGGCTTAAGCTCACCTGGAATAGGTCACTGTATTTAAGCTCAACTGTTGTAGGTCAGTTTTAAACTCACCTCAATTTAGGTCACTGTCTTTAAGCTCACCTGTTGTAGGTCACTGTCTTTAAGCTCAACCGATGTAGGTCAAGTTTTAAGCTCACCTCAATTTAAGTCACTCTCCTTAAACTCACCCGTTGTTGGTCACTGTCTTTAAGCTCAACTGCTGTAAGTCAGTTTTAAGCTCACCTCAATTTAGGTCACTGTCTTTAAGCTCACTAGTTGTAGGTCACTGTATTTAAGCTCACCTGTTGTAGGTCAGTTTTAAGCTCACCTCAATTTAGGTCACTATCTTTAAGCTCACCTGTTGTAGGTCACTGACTTTAAACTCACCTGATCTAGGTCACTGGCTTAAACTCACCCGATCTAGGTCATTTTCTTCAATCTCACTTGATGTATTGGTGACTGTATTTAAACTCACCTGCTAAGCTCACTTTCGGAAGGTCATAGACTTCAAACTCACCAACATTAGGTCATGTTATTCAATATTATCTGTTTTAAGCCAGATGATTTAAACAAAACGTTCTGTATGTGACGTACTTTCTCCATTATGTGAAGCGCATAGCCTACTTTCCCTCCGTGTTCGATGTGACCAACTTTTAAAAAAACACAATGACCGACTCACATGCAACGCACACTACCTACTTTCCACATCATTGATCTACTTTCCAAGTCTATCCTTATCTGATGTCATTAATGTCAAGTACTTTACCATTCAAGTGACCTGTTTGACCTACTTTACCATGCACGTGACCTGTTTGAACTATTTTTACGTGCACGTGACATGTTTGACCTACTTTACCATGCACGCGACCTATTTGACCTACTTTACCATGCCCCTGACCTATTTGACCTACTTTCCCCAGCACGTGACCAGTCAGCTGCGGACAGAGTGCAAGTGCCACGGCATGTCCGGCAGCTGCACCATTAAGACCTGCTGGCGGACGCTTCCCCCATTCCGCGAGGTGGGGAACTCGCTCAAAGACAGGTTCGACGGTGCCTCCAGGATCCTGCCAGGTACACACGCTCTCCTCTCCCTGGCATAGGTGTTCGCATACTGTGGAGCCGCCTGGTCCGGGGACGATAACATTTGTTATCCATAGTTAATTTCTGAGGCGTATGCAGAAGGGGAGCCGAGGGAGCGCCCACCCCCCATAATTTTTTTTATAGTAAAGCAGCGAATTTAAAAAAAAATGTAAATTCATATTAAAAATTAAAACCAATTAGAATTGAAAGGTAAATTGTTCTATATTTTGACTATGAAGTGAAATCTTGATATTCTTTCGTACACTCACGCCCATCACCCCTCCCCATCCTACAAAAATCTGCCCACGTCCCGGGCAAAATTAAAATAATTTTAGTGCCTACACCTTTGAATTCTTGAATAGTAGGTCTGCCGAGAAGAGTAGGTGGAGTTACTAGGCTGACAATATGGCGGCTCCACATTTCATACTAGCCATTAGTTTTCTAGATTAGCGAGTAGATGTGTGATCTTTTTAAGACACGTTTTTATTTGTTTGTTAGTTTTTACTATAAAACATGTTTTTATTTTATTTTATACGTGCAGTGGGTTGTCCGACTAAATTTCTTGTCAATTGTTTAATGCAAGGCTGAAATGTGCCAAATATTTCTATTTCTTTCGTTTCTTTTTATACACGATTTTAAAATATGATCTTGCTGTTGCGTCATGCTGGAGAAATGGAGCAATTCTTTTTATTCTGTTTCTAGGTAATGACGGCTTGAGCCAAGAGGAAGGTGTGTATGTTTGTGTTTAGTCTAAGGTCACGTTTAGTCTAAGGTCAGGTTTAGTCTAAGGTCAGGTTTAGTATAAAGTCACGTTTAGTCTAAGGTCAGGTTTAGTCTAAGGTCAGGTTTAGTCTAAGGTCAGGTTTAGTCTAAGGTCAGGTTTAGTCTAAGGCCAAGTTTAGTCTAAGGCCAAGTTTAGTCTAAGGTCAGGTTTAGTCTAAGGTCAGGTTTAGTGTAAGGTCAGATTTACTGTTAGTTAACTTGCAAATATTATTTCAACTTTTAAATTTAAAAATTGTAAACAAAATACACATTTTTAAAAAATAGTACCTCCTTTTTAAATACCGTTTAATATTTAAGTAATTATCTTTCTTTAGTGTAAGCATTAAATTAAATAGACACAAAATTTGTTAGTTTGTTTATTATTCTTAAAAGGTTGATAATGATAATTTAATTTAAATTACTTTTCTATCATTTCTTTACTGCTTTAAATGACAAAGAAATTTAGTCTAATACAACCCATTTACTGCAACTGTAAAATTAAATAAAAATATAAAAAAAAACTAAGTTGTGCCCATCAATAGTGATAACAATAAAAGATAAGATAAATTCAAATCAGAAGCAGTGTAAGTATACCTGCACTGATTTTAATTTAACTTAATTTAAAAAAAAAGATTAATTAAAAACTATTGAGAAAAACAAATGATAGAAGCAAAGTATTTTTTTTGGTCATAATTAGGCTGTAACAACTTCTGTATAGTTACCCTAAGGTGTATTATAAAGTTAAACGACAAAGATTAAAGAAAATATTTTAAACAAACGTATCGAAAATCATGAAATAATTATAAGTAATTAGTTATGTGTTAGTGTGAAATTTTGTATGAATGTTTTGCGTGTTTGAAATAATGAACATTAAAGTTGTGAGCTCTCTATCAATTTATTGTTTTATTGGTAATTTAGTTTTTGTAGTTATGTAGTTGGTGGTGGCAAGATGCATTTCTCTATCAGTTGTAGATATTGTACATCTGCATTATAAACTAGTATTTGAAACATCTATAAATAATTAGTACTGACCTTGACCCTGTTAGTGATGACACCCTGTTTCAACGTGCGCCATTTTGCTTTACTTCACCTTTAGAAAACTCTGGAAGTGGCCGGAGCAAGAAGAAGAGGAAGCTGAACTTTACCCCCGCCAACCCGAACCTGAAAAAACCCGAGAAGACAGACCTGGTGTACTTTGAGGAGTCACCGAGCTTCTGCGAGAAGGATCAGGGCATTGGCATCGAGGGCACTGTGGTAAGTGAAACAGGGCATAGAGGGCATTGTTGTATGTGTAGTAGGATAAAATTTACACAACAATATTCTAGAGATTTTACACCGAAAGTTATGTGTACATTTTTAAATAGAAATATTAAAAAAAAACTATTTTTTACGGGCAATTTTGCTAGTAATTGTACAATGGAAGTAATAGAGCAATTTTTAATTGATATTTTACACTGGAATGAATTCGCATAATTTTTTGGACATATTATACTGAAATTAATACGGGCAATTTTTTCTAGACATTTTAAACTATAACTAATACGGGCAATTTACTAGAAAACTCCAGTTACCTATATTTTCGTACAGCACCCTACACAATTTCGCGTAAACTTGTCTATACATGATGACATCTAAAACATAACAAAATGTCATGTGACATGACAGTTTTGACCTCACTTAAGCCGTGACGTCACGCTAATCTAATCTCTCCTCCCACAGGGTCGGGAGTGTAACGGCACCTCCCTGGGGGTGGACGGCTGCGACCTGATGTGCTGCGGGCGGGGCTACAAGACGGAGGAGTACCTGGCCCAGGAGCGGTGCCAGTGCATCTTCATCTGGTGCTGTGACGTCAAGTGCAAGGTGTGTCCGGTCACCCGTACCAGGCACACGTGCTTGTGAGGGCCGCGCGTGCGGATCCTGTGGGTACTGCTCACACCGTGACTCACGGGTGACGTCATCCTAGTGCGTGCACGTGCCGTCGTCATAGAGTGAGCCAAGTCATGTCAGACTAGACACTCATTGTCACGGTTGACTGAGTAAAGTCAGATGACTTCACAATTTCAAATGACTTCAACATTTTTAAATGACTTCATTTAATACTAAAAATCAACTGCTGCTGTAGCGGACCAATGCGGTTTACTTTAGAACCCACGTGTTAGGAGTGTGAGCGAAAGTGACAAGTGCTCAGCTTCCATCTCTTCAGTGCTGACTGGTGTACGCTATGTATGCCGATATAATACTCCGTAAAATATGGATGCAACTGTATACAAACTACACTCACCTCGATGGGCTATACCAACACTGGGCTTACAGGCAATGGCTACATTACAGCTGGGCCCATAGAGATTGGCTCCATTATCATGTGAGCCCACGGACAATTGATACACTGTAGGTTGGCCCACGGACAATGGCTACATTACAGTTGGGCCCACGGACAATTGCTACATTATAGGTGGGCCCACGGTAAATGGCTAAACTACAGCTGGGGCCATGGACAATGGCTACATTACAGCTATACCTATCATCTGCAGCTGTGCCTATCGACAACTGATACAGCTATGCCTACGGCAATGACTACAATAAATGACTACATCGCAGCTGGGCTTACGTTTAGTGGCTACATAACAGATGCTGTAATCAATAGCCACAGCTCTATTTACGATAAATAGCTACATCACAGCCCTGCCTACGTTATATGGCTACACTACACCTGGGCCTACGGTTAGTGGCTACAGATGCTGTACCGACCGACGGTCAATGCACCGCTACAGCTGGACCTACTTTCAGTGACTACACTGGGCCTACGGTCAGTGGCTACACTACAGCTGGGCCTACGGTCAGTGGCTACAGCAGGGCCTACAGACAATGGCTACACTACAGCTGGACCTACGGTCAATGCCACACTTCTGTTGGGCCTACGGTCAGTGGCTACACTACAGCTGGGCCTACGGTCAGTGGCTACACTACAGCTGGGCCTACGGTCAATGGCTACACTACAGCTGGGCCCCACTACAACTTGACCAACCTAACAAAGCCTAGCACTCTGTTGTTGAACCCTCTAGAACTTTCATTAGAGCTATCATTTAAAACTTATTGTATGTATTTCATTAACATTGTTAATTCATGCTTACATCAAGCTTCATCAAACCAACTTAAGCAACACAAATATAGTACCAGACTAGAGCTAAATAGACAATATCAAAAAGATCAAGCACTTTAAAAAATAAATAATTTTTTAATGAACTTACTGCGTATCATACATGACGTCTATACAGAGTTTGTAAATAAATTGTTAATCAAAACCATACAATAATTTTTGAAAACTTTTTAATTGTATTAAAGATCTCTAAAACTTAAACCATAGCAAAATTCCAATTAAAAAGCGAAAATCGTAAACATGTCTACATCAACAGACTTAAACAAAAATAACACCGTAAATTACCAATGACGTCATTCTGATTGCTCGGGCGTGTGTTGATGACACAAACTTCATCAGCGGAATGACGCTTGTACCACGTCACCACCGGTCCATCTAATGACGTCATATCCTCCGACCCGCGTCGTCTTGTCAAAAATGCCGTGTGTGATGGATAGCCTCCACAAACCTGACGGATTACATCCACATGTCAAGTGACATAACCTCACAATTCGCATTACCCTAATCCCTTAATCCCCTGCCCATCGATTCCGTTAATCCTCGCTAGATGTTGTCCGCGGTGGTGCTATGTTGGGTATTGTGATCAATCGTCACGATTTTACAATAGCAAGTGTGCACTGTTACGTGTTGCTAGATTAACCAAGAAACAACGAAATTAGATTAACTAACACACAACGAAATACTCTGTATTTATTGACTTTGGCCGTTCATTTCGTGTCCGCATCAGTCATTTTCATCTGTGCTATGTGCGCAAGAGATTTAGATGGCATGCAATGTTATTATAGTTGTTATTGATTCTAAGCATGCTGTTAAATGTTACTATATGCTTAAGAATATGATAAATACTTTAGGTATCTATACATCAAGAAAATATATCAAATAAATATAGTAGCAGAGAATAAACATTGTTTTAGTTTTAAATGTAGGTTAATGCCAGAAGATTAATTTTAAATATTTTTTTTAAATGTTGAAAATAATTTTTAAGAGCTTGCAAAGTATTTTAAATGGAAGGCTACATACAAAACATGTAAAATATTTAAAATGAAATGCTACATACAAAACATGCAAAATATTTAAAATGAAATGCTACGTACAAAACTTGCAACATGATTCAGTTATAACAGCTTCAACGACGACTCAATATTGTATACATAAGGGCATTAAGCCCATCATTTTTAAATTTATTTTTAGATACTTAACAACCAGTAAACTATTTTAGAAATAAATTCTTAATTTCTGTACAACTTATAAAGTAATTTAGATTAAAATGCATTACAACGGTTAAAATACTTTAGATTACACTTTTTAAAATTTTACGAAATTAATTTGAACTATACCATATGTAAGTCTCTCTTTCTTCCATAAGTAGCAAGTATTTTATTTAGTATACAGTGCTGCACTTTCATTTCAAAACTGTTTTGAAATGCATTTTTTATACATAATTGTTCATTTTTTTTACATATATTCCTTATTTTTTACCTTAATCAACGTGTATTAAACTAATAGTTTCTAAACAAAATGTGTGTAAATAATTATTCTAATTTAATTTATAATGAAGGTCAAGGGTGTTTGTGAATAGGATGGATCAGTCGAGTGAGGTGAATTAATGTCAGGTCACACCTCATAATGATTGGCTAGGTCATTTGTTTTCTCAGGTAACTGAGATAAGTTAGCTAGGTCCGTTAGATTAGTTAGATCAATAAGATGATTTAGGTCTATATAATCAGGTCGTTTTAATCTGTTAGGTCACGAGATTAGTTAGGTCATTGAAATCAGGTCATTAAAGTTGGTTGTTAGAATCAGTTATGTCAACAAGGTCAATTAAGTGATAAGGTCCAATTAGGTCACTGAAATCAGCTAGGTCATAGACATCAGGTCATCGTATCAATCAGCTAGTTTAGTGAAACTCAGTTGAATGAAATCGGTTAGGCCATATCAATTAATTAGCGGAATGAAATCAATTAGGTCATATCAATCAGATAGTTAAAAGAAATCAGGTCATATAAATCAGTTATTTCAATGAAATCAATTAGGTCTTAGAAATCAGGTCATATAAATCGGTTATTTCAATGAAATCAATTAGGTCTTAGAAATCAGGTCATATAAATCAGTTATTTCAATGAAATCAATTAGATCTTAGAAATCAGGTCATATCAATAAGTTAGGTCAATGAAATCAATTAGGTCTTAGAAATCAGGTCATATAAATCAGTTATTTCAATGAAATCAATTAGGTCTTAGAAATCAGGTCATATAAATCAGTTATTTCAATGAAATCAATTAGGTCTTAGAAATCAGGTCCTATCAATAAGTTAGGTAAATCAAATCAGTTAAATGAAATCAGGTCATATCATGTTTCAATGAAACACGTTAGGTCATGCTAATCAGTTAGGTCATATCAATTAGGTCAATGAAATCAGTTAGGTCAATGAAACAAGTTAGGTCATGCCATTCAGTTAGGTCAATGAAACAAGTTAGGTCAATGAAATCAGTTAGGTCATGCCATTCAGTTAGAGCTGTGTCTGCCACCATTCCTTGACTCGTGTCTGAATGTAAATTATTGTTGTGTACATAAGAAGGTATACCGTCTTGTCGGTGACGTCACCCGGTCATGACGTCACCACCTTATCCCCCCCCCCCCCCCCGTACCGACGTCATCTCCAGCAAGTGACCACTACCACTACGGAGATGTGAACAGTTTTACAAGCGCGACATATAACATATCACTTAACATATCTTATGTAAATTATTTTATTTTTATCTAGTATGCTTGTTTACTAAATCTATGTGCTATTAATAAAAACAAAATAAACTTTAATTTTACAATGTTGTTTCATTACATTTATCTTGTTATACTATGATTACAGGAGACATTATTATAATTAATAAACCGTTGGTAGTTCTTGTATCTTTTATAGGCTGATACATTCATGTACTAAAGCCAAAAAGTAAATACAAATTTGTGTACATTTTGTAGAGCATCAATTTTAACAGCAAATATCACTAGAAAATAGACAGATAAAAAACAGCGTTAACTTAAACCATATTTTGTATTGCGTTATGAAACATTTAACTTTATGAACTAAGACTTACCATCTATACTCAACTAATTAATCCTTACAATTAGTGCTTAATTTAAAAACCTTACTTGTAACTACACCCCACCCCCATAACCTTAACCAACTACCGTATCTTCCATTTATTTTAATTATATATATAAATTTAGATGTACATAGTCATTACCTGTACATGTACATTTCTCTGTATTTTAGTATATTGTTCTAATTCTCTGCTATCGATACTATAAATTTTTTTTGTTGATCTATGTTTAATAACAGTTTGAAATTGTAAGTGATATTATAACATAAATACATACAGTTTACATTGATAATTTTTTTTCAGGTTTAAATGTCCTTTTAACAAAAACATAAAAACATTTACAATGAAGTTTTTTTTTTATTTTTTCACTGAGCCATAACTACTTTAGAGACTTTTTTCTGTTGTTTCCATGATTTCAAGTGTTTATGATTGAATAAATTAATTAACACATCTAATAGTCAAGTGTTCTAATTAAAATAAAAATTGAAACAGAAAAATGTATATCGCCATCCTTACATGAAATTGTGTCTACCTCTGCTGTAAAACAAAAATAAACTCATTTTTTTTTCTCGACTTCGTTGTCTTTTTAAATGTATATATATATATATATATATATATATATATATATATATATATATATATATATATATATATATATATA